AGAAAACATCAGAAAGCTTCCAGAACTGCTTGCAAACTTCCTGTGCCAGCCCTTTGATGTTAATTAAGCACAATTCCTGCTTTTAGATTGCTCTCTTGTAAGAACAGCAGCTTCTAGAAAAAAAAGGCACCACCCTCTGTTGCTTTAGTAGTGGACGACCCTATAGGAGTTCATGTATAAACCAGAAAAGACCATTCTTGATTTCTTTTTAGGGTGGACCTCTTTAAAAAATGTATGTGACAGGCCAGGCGTGGTGACTCATACCTGTAATCCCAGCACTTTGGAAGGCCGAGGCAGGTGGATCACGAGGTCAGAAGATCGAGACCATCCTGGCCAACATGGTGAATACAAAAATGAGCTGGGTATGGTGGCACGTGCCTGTAATCCCAGCTACTCAGGAGGCTGAGGCAGGAGAATTGTTTGAACCCGGGAGGCAGAGATTGCAGTGAGCCGAGATCATGCCACTGCACTCCAGCCTGGTGACAGAGCGAGACTCCATGTCAAAAAAAAAAAAAAAGGAAAAAGAAATGTATGTGACAACTATATAATAAGAACCCTTGAGAGATCCAAAAATCTGGGATAGGAATTGATATTATCAGTGGAAAATTAAAGGGAAAGATTATCAACTATTAATATTCCAGTGGTCAGAGAGCTGTGAACAAAGAGTTGAGACAAAGGTATCCTTAAGATTAAAGTAGGCAAAATCTGTTGTCTACTTATAAGATCATCTTTCTAGGTTTATTGATAGTTAATAAAAAGCAGCATAATTTCCAGAAGTGAAAATTTAGCCACTTCTACTTATAAGCCATCCTTGTTAGAGAAACTTTGTTTGCTTAAGTCATGATTATTACAGAAATTGAAAAATGCTCATTTGAGCTATTAAATTGACTCTGTGGTCTCCCAGTAATTAATTTAACCCGTGATGATACACAGTTAACAGGCTGAGATGGAGGGATAGGTAGATTACAGATACATCCCTGCTAGAGATCTTCAGACCCCTAGCTTTATATTTTGTCCCTACAGACATTCAAACTTCAGGTAAATTGATAATCAAATTGATACGGATCGTCTCCAAAAGATTAAAAAACAAATGACATGGATATGCACCACGCAGGGCTGCTCCCAGAAGAGGGAAGTGAAGCAGCCCGCCTCTGCCTCTGCCTCCACCTCTGCCTCCGCCTGCTCCTCCACAGGGTAACTAATGCCAAGTGCAGTCCTCTCTAAAGGAGGAGCTCAGCTTTGGGCAGCCCAGCTCAGCTGCTGGGCTCTAGCTGTTATCATTCAAATGTGTCTTTTTTAGGGACTGAGTCTGCTAGATGCATCCATTAGTTAAGCAAATGGAAATTCAGGCAGAACTGTAGGTGAGAACCGAGGGTCAAAATGTGTTATCAAGAGTCTTTTCTCCTAGGAGTTGAAGTTAATCAGCCTGATCAGGTCAGGGTGGAAGGTTTGCCTTCTGCATGAATGCAGCCTTGATGATGGAAAAGGGCCAGCCTTGAGAAGGTAAGAGAGGAGGATTGCTGTCTCCATGGGGCACCCGGAAAGAGGCAACTGTCCTTACAGATAACCCGATCCATTGAGCTAAGAACTGGATGGGGAGTGTCTGTAAGAATATTAAAATCCTTATCCCAAAGTGATTTATTTTTATCAGGTTTTTTCCTCTGTTATTAACAGCTGACATTTACCAAGCACTCGTACAGTTCTACGTGTTTGACATTTCCTTTTTTTTTTTTTTTTTCTCGCTCCGTCACCCAGGCCAGAGTGCAGTGGCACGATCTCGGCTCGCGGCAACCTCCACCTCCCAGATTCAAACAATTCTCCTGCCTCAGCCTCCTGAGTAGCTGGGACTACAGACATGTGCCACCATGCCCAGCTACTTTTTATATTTTTAGTAGAGATAGGGTTTCACCATGTTAGCCAGGATGGTCCCGATCTCCTGACCTTGTGATTCGCCCGCCTCGGCCTCCCAAAGTGCTGGGATTACAGGCGTGCGCCACCACGCCCAGCCCCATGTTTGACTTTTCTGTTGTCTCTTAACTCTCACAGCACCATAAAGCGGGTACCATTTGTATCCCTCCTTTATCAATGAGGAAACTAGAGCACAGAGGCTTTCAGTAATGTGTACTGTCACACAGCAGGTTGGTGACAGCTGGGATCTGAATGCCCTGGAATAGAAAAATTCAGCCTCACATGGCCCAGATTGGTTCACCAGACTCTGCTCAGCAAACAGCCGCATGCAAAGCACTGCTCCTGTTCAAACTAAGTGTGATGGCGTAGGTGAAAGTGTTTTAGGAAAAGTATACAAATGTATTTCAAATGAAAGTATAACCACGTGACTAGCAAAAGGGAAAGTGAAATGCTTCTAAACCATCAGGTCTATAAAATAAACTACAGTAACATGGAAAACTATATCCAAATATTAGAAGGCTTAAAAATCCTTTTTAATTGATTTTATATTTTTTTCAAAATCTTTTTTTAGAGATGGGGTCCCACTCTGTTGCCCAATCATAGCTCACTGGAAAATGCCAGAAGAGGCCCCAGCTCCCAGGTGCTCTGCTGCACACAGCACATCCTTGCCAGCTGCTAGTTCCATGCAGGACTCTGAAAACGAAATTGGGGGAGTCTGTGAGCTATGTGCTTTTAATAAACCACAGTGTCACCCAGTGCCCGTCAGTGGGTGGAAAACCATGAAAGAGATTAAGGGGACATTCAGCGAGCCCTTACTTCTGTGGGAGGGCCTCTCGCCACAGGGGTCCCAAGAAGCTGCCTTCCTCCCACTCATGACCACCTCTTCCTGCCCCTGCCAAGCTCAGGCTTGGCTTACAGCACATTCTGAATGCCATCGTCACCACCCAACTGGGTTTCTTATCTGCTGCCTCCCCATTCATATTTGTTCTTCAAAATCTCTTTCAAATGTATTGTAAGGGGTGGGGGGGCGGTGGGAGCACATCCAGCTCCCAGAGATAGAGGTTCTTGGCCTCTCTAACCCCGAAGAATGGGGAAAGGGACCCGGAGGAGCGGGGAGTTTGCAGTTCGAATAAACATCGTGGACCCAAAGAATTTTGCAGAAAAGCGATTTGTTAGAGAGAGAGAAAGAAGACAGCTCTCACGCTTTTGTGGGAGGGGACCCCAGAGAGGGAAATCCGTTTAGGTGGGAGCCGCTGGATATTTAACCCTTGAGTTATTCCCGCCCCATTCATGTTCTCGTCCAATGCGAGTTCTTTCGAACTTCCTCCGGAGTGATTGATCTTTGACTCTGATAGGGGATTGGTTACTTGGTCCACAATCCTGAGTTACAGAGCCCCCTCCTCTCAGAGCTTTCGGCCAGATTTTGGGACAAAAGAGCCCCATCTGGCTTGGCTTTGCCTACCAGGCCTGGCGCCCGCAAAAATCAGACCAAGACCTTTACATGTGAAACCCCTCTGGTCCCCAGATGGAGGCGTGGAGGAGGGGCTCAAATCCCTGCATTTGAAATCCCTGTATTTGAAACCACGCCCCTCGCGGACCAGGGAAGGGAAGTCCCTCAATAGATCTACTGATTTTTAAAATTTTAATTAAAAATTCTAAATTTTATTTTAATTTTAAAACATTTAATTTATTTTAATTTTAAAATTAGATTTAAATTTAAAACTAATTAACAATTGCCTATTAAATAAAATTTAAACTTCTTAACCTAACATTTATAACCCGCTGAGTTCAGGCTCAACTTACCTTTCCAACCTTACTCAGCTTTCTGCTCCATGTTCACCCCAGACAACCATAAGCTAAAAAATAAGCACCCCACCCCCAACCCCAGCACACCCTGGACCCCCCTTCCTACCCTGGTAGGATGCGCTTCCCTCATTCACTTCCAACATCATGCCTATTTGTGAAGATTGAACTCAAAGTAGCCTCCATCATGAATCTTTTCTTTCTAAATCCTCCCAGCCTGAAATACTTTTTCCTTCTAACAAACATGTATCATGACCTAACCTTCTAGCTAAATGTTTATACTGTTTAACCATGAGCCTTTTGAAGGCAAAAATTGTTTTAAATTTAAATTTTTAACAATTTAAAAATTTAACCATTTAAAATTTTTTCCACAATTTAAAATTTTAAATTTAATTTTAATTATTTAAATGATCTTGGCTCACTGCCAACCTCTGCTCACGAGTTCAAAGTATTCTCATGCCTCAGTCTCTGGAGTAGCTGGGACTGCAGGCACGCCCCACCATATCTGGCTAATTTGTTTGTATTTTTAGCAGAAACGGTTTTTTGCCATGTTGGCCAGGCTGTTCTCAAACTCCTGACCTCCTGTGATCCCCTTGCCTCAGCATCCCAAAGTGCTGGGATTACAGGCGTGAGACGCCACGCCTGGCCGACACAGAAGTGCTGAGAGAGGGGTTTCTTGTGAGCCTCTTCAGCTTATTCTGTCCGGTCAGCATGCAGCCTGCAACGTCTCTCCCGTGACATGCTCCCACTGTACTTCCCTGCCTTTGGAATCATAACCAGGGAATCATTTGGTACTGTGAGTGATTAACAAGCCTCCATCCTTCAGGGCCCCAAAAGCTTTATTGCCAGTGGTAGTTCTGGCAAGGCCTGCATCTGAATAGCAGGTGCAGCCCCCCTATCCCCCACCGGGCTGTCAGTGCTCTCCATGCTGTACTCATCTTCGGTCACCTCCACCTGGCCTTCGTGGATCTCGCCCACGCCAAGCCTGTTGAGAAGCTGGGGACAGCACAGGCCAGTACCACACGCTGCAGCTCAAGCTGTCCGCGGACATTCACACGGAATCCTGGCAGCTCGGGTGCGTGAGCCGCACACACTGTCACATCTCCTATCTGGGCATAAGCAGTCCGACTGACGGCGTCTCTGTTTGCCACACAAGCTATCATCCTGTGTTTGGGTGTGTTGTACTTATTTTTATCCCGTATTGCCAAGCGTTTCTGAGCTCAGTCATGTTTTACTCTCACATCCTCTTCTGCATTTCACTTGTGTCTCTGAAAGCAGGCCTCACTCTTGACAACTTTAAGAAACCCCACCCTGCATAGGAGAGACCTGCATCTTTGGCCCTACATGGATCTCAGGATCTCTGGAAGCAGAAGAAGTAGAGATGTTTCTAAACATCGCCTTACTTTTTGAAACATAGAACTAGAGGTATACAAATGATCTACTACTTGTTCAAAAATATGTGTCTGTTGCCTCGTGGAGTTGCATGCTTGACTCAAGATGTAAAGATCAATGGGATGTGTTTCCTACCCTCAGGCACTTTCAGCCTAGGCAGATTATAACTGTACAAAGATAATGTGATGGTTAATTTATTTGTCAACTTGGCTGGGCCTGGGGTGCCCAGCTCTTTCGTTACTCATTATTCTGTGTAGATGAGGGATTTCTGGACAAGACTAACATTTGAATCTGTAGAATGAGTAAAGCAGGTTGCTCCACCTACAGTTCGTCCACCCCATCCCATCTGCTGGGGGCTTAAATAAACAAAAGGCAGGGTAAGGGAGAGCTCACTCTCTCCACGTGTCTTTGAGCTTGGACATTGGCCTTCTCCTGCCTCTAATTCCAAATCCGGCTGGCAATCTAGACCATCAGCTCTCCTGGGTCCCCAGCTTGCTGACTGCAGAACCTGGGACTTCTCAGCTTTCGTAACGATTTGAACCAATTCCTTATAATAAAAGTCTTTCTCTACATACATTTTATTGGTTCTGTTTCCCTGGGGAGCCCCAGTAGAAAGAAATCCAAGACATGATGCGATACGTAAGTGCCACAATACTGAGAGTGCTGCTCCAGGCATTATGGTGGAGACGGGATTCACCGAGGAGAGGGGTCACGCATCTCAACGGGCAGAACAGGGAGACATGCTTAGATTCAGATTTCAGTGGGCCCTTCTGCCTGGTAGCAGAGGGCATGCATTTTAGGGTCAGTATACATGTAAAACCGTCACTAAAGCACAAAGATCAGATTAATGGCATGAAAACATGTCTACAACATGCTTAGCTTTAAACAATATTTAAATTTTTTTACCTAAGTGTTGTTATCTCATATCTACCTCAGCAATCAACTCATGCAGCTGCCCTATTCATAAAAAATTTTTCAAGCTTGACTATATGTTGGGCTCCAAATCAGTCTTAGAAATTTCTGAATAATTGACATTTTAGAAAAGGCATTTTCCATACACAAAGGGCAAATTAGAAATCAGCATCAAAGAGATTTAAAAGCCACATTTTTGGGAACTACAGTCAAAATACTCAATGCATTAAAAAGGAAATTAGAATACAAATGTTTAAATGTTTAGAACTGAATGAACTTGGATGGGCTTTATGTCAGAATTTCTGTGATGGCTTTTTGGAGCCAGACCAGGTATGGAAAGCAAACATTCTCTGCTTTTCTTTGTACTCTCTTGGGGCAGGTATTCATCCTGTTACCACTGCTGCCTGTGTGTGAGCAGGGACGGGGTAACTGGCTTTTGACAAAACTTCAGTTCCTATAGTTAGGAACCTAACTTCCTAACTTTAGGAAGTTAAGACAAGAACTGAAAAATAAATTTCAGGCATCTAGACATGGAGACTATTTGGATTATGGGCTGCAGAGAATTTCTAATGAAGGCAAATAAATAGCATGGTTAGCAATCTCATCTTCTTCAGTGACTTTCTCAAGTGATGAGTTCTCTCCATTGAGGGAATGAACCCCCAAAGTATTTGAAAGACTTTATGTATATAGAAGACACTGCAGATCCCTGTGTGAAGAATGGTACTAGAACAATTGATTAATATGTTTTTAAAGTACTGGATCTTACCTCACAACAGATATAAAAATTAATTTGAATGGTGCATAGGTTTGCTAGGGCTGTTGTAACAAGTACCATAGACTGGCAGGTTTAAATAACAGAACTTTATTTTCTCACAGTTCTGGAGGCTGGAGGTCCAAGATCAAGGTGTCAGCAGTGCTGGCTCCTTCTGAGGACCCTCTTTGGTTTGCAGATGGCCATTCCCTTCCGTGACTGCACATGGCTTCCTCTGTGTCCTGATCTCCTCTTCATACAGGGACACCAGTCACACTGGGTTGGGATCCACCTTAATGAATTTAGTTACCCCTTTATAGATCATATCCACAAATACAGTCGCATTCAACATGCTAGGAGTTAGGGCTTCACACAAATCAGCACCTAGCATATAGATTAAAGACTTAAAAATTAAAACAAGCAGTAAGGTTTTAGAAGAAATTATAGAGAAATTGTTGTTACAGTCTTGTTAAGTAACGGTTTTTCCTTTTTTTTTTTTTTTTTTTGAGACGGAGTTTCACTCTTGTTACCCAGGCTGGAGTGCAATGGCGCGATCTCAGCTCACCGCAACCTCCGCCTCCTGGGTTCAGGCAATTCTCCTGCCTCAGCCTCCTGAGTAGCTGGGATTACAGGCACGCACCACCATGCCCAGCTAATTTTTGTATTTTTAGTAGAGACGGGGTTTCACCATGTTGACCAGGATGGTCTCGATCTCTTGACCTCGTGATCCACCCGCCTCGGCCTCCCAAAGTGCTGGGATTACAGGCTTGAGCCACCGCGCCCGGCCGTGTTTTCTTAAGTAAGACATGAAAGCTCAGCCATGAAGTAAAAGCTAGGTCAACCTGACTACTAAAAATAAACAGAAAGCCTGCTGTTCATAGAAAGACCCTATTTTTTTAATTGCATTTTAGGTTTTGGGGTATGTGTGAAGAACATGCAAGATTGTTGCATAGGTACACATGTGGCAGTGTGATTTGCTGCCTTCCTCCCCATCACCTATATCTGGCATTTCTCCCCATGCTATCTCTCCCCAACTCCCCACCCCCTGCTGTCCCTCCCCTATTTCCCCTCCATGGACCCCAGTGTGTGATGCTTCCCTCCCTGTGTCCATGTGTTCTCACTGTTCAACGCCCACCTATGAGTGAGAGCATGCGGTGTTTCATTTTCTGTTCTCGTGTCAGTTTGCTGAGAATGATGGTTTCCAGGTTCATGCATGTCCCTACAAAGGACACGAACTCATCGTTTTTGATGGCTGCATAATATTCCATGGTGTATACGTGCCACATTTTTTAAAAAAGGAAAAGACAAGCCATGGATTGGAAGAAGTTATTTGAAACATTTATATTCTTTAAGAATAAACATTCAAAATCAACTCAAAAGGAAATCAAAAAATAAACTAAAGCAAAACATTACAAAAATGGGCAAAAGATATTAGAAATACTCATTTCACAGAAGTATAAATGGCCAATAATTGTATTAAAAGACACTGACTTCCTTACTAATAAAGAAATACAGTTTAAAAGAAAATAAAAATTTATACACATATGTCGATTGGCACCGGGGTGGAAGTTTATTCTCAACTACTCTGGAAAGGAATTTGGTATCATCTAGTGAAATTGACACTGTGCTAGGTCCTAAGACCAATTTTACTTCCCATTGTCCATCCTACAGAAATGTGTTCACATGCACACTGTGAAACCTACACATAAATGTTTGCATCAGCATTGTTCATAATATCCCCAAACTAAATAAAGCTAACTGTCCACCACAGAGAATGTATGATTGCTCTGTAGTGCATTCACAAGTAGATTTCTATAGAGCGGTGTAAGTAATGAACTCAATGTTGAACAACAACAAACAAATAGTCTCAGAAGAATACATATAGTATGACACCAAAATACACACAATACAACACCATTTATATAAGGTACTCAAAATGCACAAATACAAATAGTATCTTAGTGATAGATGCATAGTTAGTAAAACACTAAAGTACACCAAGGAGAGAATAGCAACAAAATGTAGCTATTCCAGTTACCACTGGCGGGGGAGAGGAGAAAACGTAAAGGTGGAAGTTGTTAACATTTGGTTACTATTCTAATGATTACGCTACATGACCGGCAATGAGTAGTCATTTTATTCTTCTTCGTATGTTACGTAGGTGCCTCTACTGGGTCATGGCTTTTTGTGATAGGCTAAGATGAGATGAGACGCTGGGAGTGCAGGCTTGGTTGAGTCAACTATGTGATGCTTTATATGGGATAACAAAGAAGTAACAAGAAATATTTCCAATAAAATTTTAAAATAGAAAAAATATTCTGGGATGCTGTTAAAATGACAATTAGATAATATTTATAAACTTAAATTCACCATTAAGAAATGCAAAATAAAGAAAATAAAGAAGCTAATAATTCAATACAAGTGGGAAAAAAGAAAAACACAGTACACACTGAAAAAGTAGAAAGAAATGCGGAAGAAATGTGCAAGCAGAAATAAAGTAACAAAATTAACACCACGATAGAGATAAGCAACAACCTGAAAGTAGTACTTCGAAAACATTAGTGAAATTGAGAAATCTTTAGGAAGACTGATCAAGAAAAGCTGGCAAAAAGCAGCAATATTAGGAATAAAGTATAAAATGATTATAATTACAATATAGATTAAAAAGTATTTTTTTAAAATTTCATGACAGAAAAAAATAAAAATCAAGATGACAAGGGCAATTTTCTAGGAAAAAAACATACAAAAAGAAAACTCAAATACGGAAGCTATTAAATAACTTAATCCAACATAAGAAATAAAATAGATGTGTAAAAAATGTTTTGTTTTTTTTTTTCAGAAGGTGTTCTGAGAACCCCGACCTGTCAGCCCTTTGTAGGGACTGCCTTTGCTAGAGAGACCAAGTGCCACCCCGGAATCATGCCTTCTCCCACATCCAGTGACAGATCCCTGTGCACCTGCGAAGTCCACCCATCTCACCCAGCCTGGGACAAGGAGGAAGGCCATTCGCACTTCAGGGTTCAGCGCGGCTTCCTCTAAGGCTGCATTGCTGCCCAGCTGCTCCCTCTGCCCAGTGCTGCTTCTGCTCCTCCCCTCCACAGGTGTTGGTCCCAAGCACTCCTGCTGAACACCCTGCACACTAGTGTGTGCTTCAGAGCAGACTACAAGCCCAAGCAAGCTCCCATTGTTCCAGGGAATAGAAAAGGTGGAAGTCTACCAAGCTCATTTTATAAGGCACACTAACTAAACAAGGGAAATATAAGGAAGGAAATCACTGTAAACATCACTAATAAATATAGATGCAAAAATGCTAAATACATATAGCAAACCCAATCCAATCGTGTACTAAAAAGCCAAAATACAATGATTTAGTAGGATTTGTCTGACAATGCAGCTGTTCATTTTCAGCATGGAAAAAATGGTATGTAATTTACCACATTAATGAATCAAAAGAAAAATGACATATAATCATCTCAATAGATGCATTAAAGCATTCCACACACACCCATTATAAAATTAAAAGTAATGCTTTTAGAAAACTAGAAATATAAAATGGAAATTCTTGTACATGATTAAGTCTATACCAGTATAGAAAGTTTTTATTAAACTAGCTTAAACAATAAGAAAATTTTGTAATCTCTAAAAATAAGAAATCAGACCGGAGTGATTCTAGGATCAGTTATTTCAGTGGTTCCACCTGTTCTCCCTGCCGTCCTTGGACTGCCAACTTACTCTCAGGCCGGCCCTCACAGTGGCATGGCGGCTGCAGTGGTTCCAGGCTCCAATACAGACTCAGTAATGTCCAGCATCACCACGTACTCTTGGAGCGTTCTCCAAGAGGCCCTCAGCTGCCTTGCTCTTAAGTCTCAGGGTTCACTATGGAGCCATAGGCCTACCTCTAAACCAATCACTGACAAACACAATGGTATTACACAGTTGGCTTGAATCAGTTAGAATTTAGCTCTGCATAGAAATTGCGGTTACATTTTCTAAAGTGTAGATTATACAACAAAACCTGAGCTTTGTAAACCAGGAAGTGTAAAGACATGAATATTGGCGAGTACTGTGCAAAAACGTGCTGAACACATACCTTTGGTGCCATGACGTGCAGATGTACAATGCGTGCATCACAGGGCATGCAACCACTCATAAGTCTATGCAGTACACTCCGTACCAAAAACAACCATATCAATTATACAACTGGACAAAGAACAGAAAGTAAGGCCGGCCCGCCCACCCACATCAAAAGAGCAACCACATAAGCTCTGGTATATGGAAGACAGACGGCACAGGTCCTGCCCCTAGTCCTTGTCTTAATCATCACAACTGTTGTAAAACTTACCAGCAGTGAAGTGGTGGACTTTACACAATCTCCCCAAGCTCCGATCATCCCACTGCTCAAGCCAGCTACAAACCACATTGACACATTCAGCCACTGTCATGATACCAGGACAGCAGGAGTGGCAGCAGTCACTTCTTTGTGTAATCATCTATAGTCTTCAGTAGTACTCTATGAGGAAGTGGTTTCCACTGGCCAGAAAGAGCTGCTAAACTTACAGTGCTGTATAGCAACGCTGCCTGAATTAAACTTTGTGTGAAAAGGCCAAGTGCCTTCCTTCCCCTGGTCTAACACATTGTGTGTCATCTTGGCATGATTTCCAGGTCATTTCTGGCTATGTATTTGGCTGACTTTGTAGGTGCCAAAGACAGGTCTACAGGGCATGCAACCACTCATAACTCTATGCAGTGCACTCTGTACCAAAAACAACCATATCAATTATACAACTGGACAAAGAACAGAAAGTAAGGCCGGCCCGCCCACTCACATCAAAAGAGCAACCACATAAGCTCTGGTATATGGAAGACAGACGGCACAGGTCCTGCCCCTAGTCCTTGTCTCAATCATCACAACTGTTGTGAAAGGGTCCTACACACACCACTAGTGCCCCACAACGTAGACACAGCAGAGACTGTCTGGGGAAATCGAGCGGAGGGGGAGTAGGAATGCACCCATGCCTGCCCAGCTCTCATCTCTCACAGCAAAGTCTGAGTGTTCCAGAGCTATGTCCCCACGGAGGGACCCTACTCTCGCAACATGGCATCTCTCTAGGCTCAGGGAGACAAAGCACTTCTTGGTGACTTTGCCAAAGTGGGAGCCCCCTGCTCTATCAAGTGGCCTGCTTAGAATCAGGGAAGTGCAGGGGCCCACCAGGTCTTGGTCTACTCAGCTGAACTACCAACGACCTGCTACACCAGCTCTGTGCTAAGCTGCTCGGAGGCGAGATGAGCCTCCCGGTCGTCACAGTTCTCTCTCATCAGGTAGGCAATCAACATGACCCACCAAACCCTCTATTGAACATCGTACTCAATGGCGAGAATTGAGAAATAGTCACATGAAATTTGAATGAACCTAAGGATTTCCCGTATCGACACTCTTCAACATTATACTGGCGGTATTAGCCAATAACAACAAAAAAGTGAGTGAAAAAAAGATGGAGTATAAGGTGCAAAACTGTCATCGTAGACAACATGATGATCTTTGTACAAAACTCAGGAGCCTCTATTGACAATCTATCAGAAATCAATAAGTTACTACATCCAAGGCTGACACACAGAAACTAAAAGAGGGCCTACACACCAGCAAGCAGCAGTGAAGACATGTAATAGGAAAAGGATTCTGTTCGCGATTACAAGCAAACCTGTAACTTTTCTGGGAATAAGCCTAATGAAAATGTGCAAGACTGTTACGAAGAAAACACAAATTTCAATTGAAATGCATAAAAGAAGGCATTAAGTAGAAAGATATATCATGTTTATGAATGGGAGAGATCAACATTGTAAGAAAGTTTAATTAATGTATACTTTAATGTTAATTCCAATAAGAATTCTAAGAGTTCATGGCACTCATCGAAGTTATTCTAAAATTCATGCAGTCCAATAAGAAAGCAAGACTCACTTTGGCACTTATTAAAATACAAAGCAATAACTGTAAATGCTTGCCCAGAGCTCAAAGAGTGCACATTTACTACAATCACTACGACATCAGGTTGTCATAAACAGAGCAGGCTGGATGTGTGTGAATTCCTGACAGGCCCACACAGCCAGCAGTGCAAGGGAGGCCCAGGGCAAGAGGAGGCATCGGGCACCTGCAGATGGGGCACGTGCAAGCCTACAGACTCATCGGGGAGCAGCTCTTGACAGCGCCAACCGGGGACATCAAATGACAACCGCACTAAACTGCTGCCCTAAAATGCTAGATTTAAAGCCCTGCTCCTAAAATAAATACTTAGAAAATAGGACCCTATTATTTTAACTCCAAAACTCTGTCTGCTTCACAGAGGTGGCGATAAGCTGACTGGAGCAGCACTGGAGAGAAAACAAATGATACCCCGCCCCGAATCCTGTGACCCGGCACCCACCCTTCGTCCCTGGACCGCTGTTTCCTTTACACACCAAATGGGCTAACCCGGTCAACTCAGGGCTGCATGAGCTGGCCACAACCTCTGTGCATCTGCAGGAGCTGCTCATGCAGCATCTTAATCAGAAACCAGGAGTCAGGGGCTGCTATATTTTTCTGTATTTAAGTATTTTTTAATAACAAAAGAAGATGCATAGAGGCTTGAGTTTTCATTTCAAAACATAATGCACAGACAAAAGACATCATACTAATGATTCGGTATGCAAGCGTGAGAAACTTGCGAGAAAATACTAAGCGCGAGAGGAGTGTAGGGTTGTTGTAATTCCAAAATGAATGATGAACTGTAAATAACCCAGCAGGCATGTAACTCACGTCCAATGTTTCCTACTGGACATGAAGTACATGCCTGCTCTGGGTTATTGACAGTTGCCAGACGCAACATAAGACTCATGACATTAGAGAATTTTTTTAAAAACCTTTTTTTTTTCCTGAGATGCCAAGAGGCAAAAATACAGCACTTTTAATGGGCAACAGACCCTGTCCACAGCGCCCGGCTCCCACACTGCATGTCCTTCCAGCTGGAATGCCACACAGAAGCTCCTCTCAGGTGGCATCTGGGGAGCAGGCCCCAGTCCTGAAATATGCAAAGTGGTGCCTCTCACTGGGCAGTGGTCACTGGGCTACACGGACCTTTCAAGTCCTAGGGTGGCCCCTCAGGTCACTGCTTGGCCTTCTTCACAACGGTGCCCACAGCAGAGATGACGGTGGTCTTGAAGCCATTGGCGTTGGTGGTGACCATGGCAGCAGCTGGCAGGGTGGCCGTGGTGGTGAGGATGGTGGGCTGGGCTATCGTCATCACTGGAATAGCCGAGTCCCATTTGCTCTTTCTCTTTCGAGCATCTGCAACAGTTGTGCTCGTGGTGGCAATGGTGGTAGCTGTGGCGGTGGTCATGGTGGTGGCTGTGGTGGTGGTAGTGGCTGTGGTGGTGGTAATGGTGGTGGCTGTGGTGGTGGTCATGGTGGTGGCTGTGGCGGTGGTCGTGGTGGTGGTTGTACCGGTGGTAGTGGTGGTGGCTGTGGCGGTGGTTGTGGTGGTGGCTGTGATGGTGGTCTTGGTGGTGGCTGTGGCGGTGGTCATGCTGGTGGCTGTGGTGGTGGTCTTGGTGGTGGCTGTGGTGGTGGTCTTGGTGGTGGCTGTGGTGGTGGTCATGCTGGTGGCTGTGGTGGTGGTAGTGGTGGTGGCTGTGGCAGTGGTTGTGGCGGTGGCTGTGGTGGTGGTCGTGGTGGTGGTTGTGGTGGTGGCTGTGGTTGTGGTAGTACCGGTGGTAGTGGTGGTGGCTATAGCAGTGGTCATGGTGTTGGCTGTGGTGGTGGTAGTGGTGGTGGTTGTACCAGTGGTCGTGGTGGTGGCTGTGGCGGTGGTTGTGGTGGTGGTCTTGGTGGTGGCTGTGGTGGTGGTCATGCTGGTGGCTGTGGTGGTGGTAGTGGTGGTGGCTGTGGTGGTGATCTTGGTGGTGGCTGTGGCGGTGGTCATGCTGGTGGCTGTGGTGGTGGTAGTGGTCATGGTTGTACTGGTGGTAGTGGTGGTGGCTATGGTGGTGGTAGTGGTGGTGGCTGTGGTGGTGGCCTTGGTGGTGGCTGTGGCAGTGGTCATGGTGCCTTTTTGTTGCCCATCAGAAACTCAGTTTTCTTTCGCTCCTTTTTGGCCTTTTCCAGCTTGTCCATCTCAATCTTCTTGGCCTTGGCTAATGATTTTTTTAATGGGTTCAGCTTTCTACAGTGAGCTTTTGTTGTCTGGGTTTTAAAATGGAAATACATCTGTCTGGCTTTAAGGACCCTGAGCCCAGAGGCACGCAGTCCTTGCATAAGAGTTTCCATACCTGGAGCACGTGCTGCCCAAGGACTAAAGAACCAGAATCACAATTAAGATGCAAAACCCGTCCCAGCAGGCAAAGACAGACCCACCTCCCCACAGACCCCTCTGCCTCCTATGGTATGAGGCCTCCGGATTTTCTGCATATACTTCAATCAAAGCAATGGCCAGCTCTTTCCCAGGTACGTTTGTCCCTTGTTCCCTCAGACCTTTGTTCAAATAACATCCTACAACAATGCTGAAGAATCAATCACTCAGTAAATATTTAAGTGAAAAAATAATATTTTAAAATAACATTAAAGGGAAAAATTAGTTCACACCTAAATGCATGTTCAATTAAATCTCAACTGAGACCCACCTATTGTTCTTTCCATTACTAACTTGGACTACCCATTAGGAAGGAACAAAACAGCTCCTGTTAGTAATAAGTTGTTATGCATTAACTTTAGTTAAATAAATAACCTAAGCATTAAAAAAATTACCACAAACTGAATGCTGAGGCAGACCTGAGAATCCAGCTATCATCTCTCATGGCTGATAATTAGACATCTGCAAAAATATAATGACATATTTCTGATTTTTAAAAAATATACATTTTACCTTTTCATAAAACAGGTGGTGGGTTACTGTCATTATTTTTGAATGAATTAATAAACATTTAAAATGTTAAGGCTACGCACAGTGGCTCACACCTGTAATCCCAGCGCTTTGGGGGGCCGAGGCAGGCAGACTGGTTGAGCCCGAGTTTGAGACCAGTCTGAGCAACAAAGCGAGACCCTGTCTCTACACATACAAAAAAATTAGCTGGTATGGCAGCATTTACACCTACGGTGTCAGCTGCCCGGAAGGCCGAGGTGGGAGGATCACCTGAGTCTGGGTAAGCTGCGGTGAGCTGTGATCATGCCACTGCACTGCAGGCTGGGTGACAGAGTGAAACCCTGTCTCAAAAAAAAAAGCTTTTTTAACATTCAACATCCAGGCTACACCCAACCCAATAATCAAATCTGATCCTTTGGGGATGGGTGGGACCTAGACATCATTATCTTTATAAATCTCCCCCAGGTCACTCCAACTTGCAGCCAAGTTTTAAAACCAGTGCCCTAGAGCAATGGTTCTCAGGTTTGGGTCCTTCTCAGCATCACCTGGGGAAGCTGGTAAAAATCCAGAGGTCCAGGCCCGTGCAGCTCAAGCAGGCC